ACATGGGGGTGGGAGTGGTACCCGGACAACCTGTGTTAGTTTCTGAAATGTGTTCCCAGGACTGTCAGGTGACGTCAGAGCTGCGCGTGTGCGGAAGGTGATGCCACCCTTCTCGTGGGCGGTGGGCAGGTGGGGAGAGAGTGGGAGGGTGGCTGGTGGGAAGGGCGAGGTTGCAGGGTCGCCCAGGAACGGGAAGCCCCCTGGTCAATTTGGGGACCTTGAGAGTCTTCTCTCGAGACACGGCTCAGGGCCCCTGGGTGCCCGTGGGCTACACGGTGGCAGCAGACAGTCACCGGGTGGTGTGAGCCCCTTTGTCCTGATAAACGGGGCCCATCTACACACGGGGCGCCGGGCCCTGCACGCGCGGGGCTCCCAGCACAGTGCCTGGCACCTAGCGTCAGGACAGAGAGGTGACAGAGCAGTTGTATGGAATCCAGAAAGGGAGGTAAACAGAGTTCATGCGAACTGGCTGTGAGCGCGTGGTACTTACATCTGACCTTGGGTATGGCTGGCGCTCGGGGAACTCAGAGTCCTAAACAAAACAACGAACCACAGTGTGGGGACCCAGCCTGCAGGGCGGCCGCGGGGCTCCCCAGCCTGCTCCCGTCCCGGACGCCCAGAGCGCCCTTGCTCGTGGGCCACGGCTCTGTGCCCTCCTCCCCGGGCCGTGAAGCACTCGATTTCTAAACCGTCTGCCGGGCTCGTTGCTGAGCAGGGAGCGAGGGGAAGTCAGAGCAGAGCCCCGTCTGCAGGGGGTGAGGTGAGAATGCTGCCTGGTCACGTCACAGGGCGAGGGAGGGGACTGTCACCGGGGCAGATGGGGGGACGTTTCCTCAGTGTGAGCTGCGGCCGTGGAGCCCCTGGGCTGGGACACGAGTAGAAGGTGGCTGCCACGTCTGCACTGCACCCGCCCCCTCCAAGCACTCGAATGGACGCCCTGGACACAATTAGGAGCAGGCGGCAGAAGGGAGGGAGATGGCAGGGCCACCTGCTCAGAGGCCCAGGAGGGCGCAGCCAGGTCTGCGTCTTGGGCTGGCATTGGGGCCCTGGTGGTCTGAAACCACGGGATGTGGCACTGGTGGCGACGCTAAAGCCCCAGTGTGTCCCACGTCTGCTGCAGCAGTGCCCTGGGCGACCCACACGTGAGTGACGTGAGCACCTGGGTCAGAGCCAAAGGCCTGTCTCTTTGCCTTGTGTTCCCAATGCCTCCCCCACTTGGCTGTTTGGCCACAAGGCTAAAAAGCTTTGAAAAAGCAATTTCAACAAAAAAAATTCCTTCTTAAGCATCAAAATGACCGAATTCCTCGCTCTCTAAGCAGCCAATGGCCCCCAGACAATGCCCTGGGGAGGTGGGAAGGGGAGGGGACCTTCGGTCAGCAGGGTGGGCCTGGGTCAGGGACAGAGTCACCCTGGGATGGCCGTGTCTATGCACTTGCAGGCTGCCAATAGGGACGAAGACCCGTCTGGCATCCCCGGCCTCAGAGGCCACGGCTCTGCTAGGGACCAGGGCACTGGCCTGGCCAAGTCTTGTCTACCTATGTGCATTCCTGAGGCAGTGAGCGGCTACCTGGATCCCGATGGAGGAGCGCCGGCCCCTGAGGAACTCCTCGGCTTTGGACGCCAGGATGGCCTTATCGCTGGTCCGCCCCAGGCCGCCCAGGCCGCCCTGGCCCTCTGCGGCGTGGCGCTGGGCGGCGGCTGTCTCCAGGGCCAGGTTCAGGGCCTTGTTGCTGTCCAGACTGTCCGTGGAGTTGTAGAGGCCACGGCCGTCCTGGGGCCACGGGGACATCCTCTGGGCGCGGCTGTCCTGGTAGGCATCCTGCGTGGACTCGGTGCTGCTCTGGGCCGTTACTGAGATCAGAGGCTTGGAGGTGGTCCGCGGGGGCACCGGCGGCGGTGTTTTTTTGTAGTTTGTATAGGAGACGGCTGTAAGAGACACGAAAGTCCCACGTCAACAAAAGCGCATTTCCCGCCTCCCCCTGCACGGGAATCGGCCGACAGTCCCTGTCCACGTGCTCACTCCCAGTGACCCATCAGGCATGTCCACCCCCAATGTCCAGCCTGAGAAAATGAGATCAACACAGAAAAAGCTGCGCGATCAGAGTCCGTCTACACGGGTATTTTCAACAGCGAGAAGTTACAAATACGTGAAATCCGCGAGAAATCCGCGATGGCCACGGCGTTCCGTGACTCCTGAGGCAGTAGGAACAAGGGCAACCTCACGGTGACTTCCAGGCAGGCCATGGTGTCGCAGGGAAATGCTCACTTTACGACCCATTAAAAAGCAGGAAATAGCAGGTTCCATCGAGACTAAGATGGAAAAGAGCGGAACTGAAGCCGGTCAACCGCGGTCCTCACCGCACAGGGCTGAGTGTTTCCTCTCAGTTCTCTGTGTCGCTTGCAAACGCTAATAATGAACAGGTATTTTTCTTAAATTTTTGTTGTTGTTAATCCTCACATGAGGATATTTTTTCCATTGATTTTTAGAGAGTGGAAGAGAGAAGGCGGGAGGTTGGGAGAGAGAAACATGGATGTGAGAGACGCACGTCGATCGGTTGCCTCTCGTATACGCCCTGACCGGGGTTGGGGGATCGAACCTGCAACCCAGGTACGTGCCCTTGACCAAGAATCGAACCCAGGACCCTTCGCTGCACAGGCAGATGCTCCAACTACTGAGCAACACCGGCCAGAGTGAGAATAATAGGTTTTATACAAGTTCAAGAAAGAAACAGAATTAGACACACACACAACTTCCAGGCACCGACCCGACTCCCTCTCACATGGGATGTGGAAGCCGAGATGGGATTTGTATCTGAAGGTGTCAGACGGGCATTTAACACGCACTCTGCATGTCCCCAGGTCACTCGCAGGGCCCGTGTGCATATGACACGGGCCTGTTCATAGCACAACCACCAATCACTTTTATGTTCCTGGTTAACAGAATGTTTTCGACTTTTACAATTTAAACATGAAGTCAAGCATCAGTCCTGAGTAAATAACTGCAGTGGCCCGGCCGGCGTGGCTCAGCGGTTGAGCATCGACCCAGGATCCAGGAGATCAGGGCACATGCCCGGGTTGCGGGTTCGATCTCCAGTTGGGGGCATACAGGAGGCAGCCGATCAATGACTCTCTCATCACTGATGTTTCTCTCTCTCTCTCCCTCCCTGTCTCTTCCTTTCTATGAAATCAATAAAGATATATTAAAAAAAAACAAAACTGCAGTAGACCACGTTTCAGAAAAAGAACACAACTTGGAGACAGGATCTTTTAAGAAACTAAAGTGAATCAGTGCATCCATTCATTCATTCATCATCCATCCATCCCTCATTCATCATCCATCCATCATCCACCCATCACTCATTTATCATCCACCCATCACTCATTCATCATCCATCCCTCATCCATCCATCACCCACCCATCACTCATTCATCATCCATCCATCCCTCATCCATCCATCACCCACCCATAATTCATTCATCATCCTTCCTTCATTCATTCATCATTATCACTCGGCCCCTCTCCTGACACACGTGTGTTGGCGCCTCCGGCCCTGGGGGACAGGGCTGTGTATTCCCAATGACTCGCTGCAGTGAGGACAGAGGCTGGAAACACAGCACAGAAAGAATAAAAAATGATCATTTGATCGTGTTAATTTGCTGCCATGGACTAAAATAAGCAATTTAAAAAATCATTTTACACATTCAAGAGAAACATTCAATTATTCAGTTGAGCAGTTTGGGAGAAAGTAATTGTCTTCATTCTGCGGATGTGAAGACACAGCTAAAAGTATGAGTTAGAGGCTGTGCCATCCATCATTTTCTACATGTGCGTCAGGCACACACTAAATGCAGTTGAAAAATTTAAATTTAATTTAGCAACAGAATTCTACTGAAGTTTGTACATCTTCAAAGAGCAGACGAATCAATGAAGACAGGTTTCTAAACATCGCATTAGGTTTATTTAACTATGAGTGATTTTTGAAATAAAAAATTAAATGGTTACTTAATATCTAAGGTAGCTGAAGCCCTGACTAATCTATTTTTATTTTTATTATGTGAGCCCAGACATAAACATCCTCTTGGCTGTAGTGCCTCCATCGATTTCCTCGCCGTGTGTACAGCGCTGCGAAGATCCCCGGTGGTTTTCCCAGTGGCTTCCTACTTAAAGGGAGAGAGATTAAAACACACCTGCGTGTTTTCCAATCAAATTACTGAGTTAGTTTGGATTCTGCGTGCGTCTCAGAGACCAGGTGAGCTGGCGAGAGTCGCCCCGAGATAAGGGAGTGAGAGGGGAGCAGCTCGCCGGGGGCCTGAGGGAATCGGCCGCCGTCCCAGCAGCAGAGGTCCCTGCCCGACTGGCGGAAGGAGCCGCGCACGGACCACCTGTCAGCAAGGTTTCCATAGAAATTGTACCAAACGAAAGTGGAGATGCTGGGAGGACATTTTGCTCAGGTGGGTGAGTCCTGCTGTTGCAGCAGAACAGAGGCCTGGGCGAGGCGCAAGGCGTCCCCTCCCATGGCTGTGGCACTGAGCTCACGTCACCAGGACCCCTCCCGAGGAAGCCGCTCAAGGCCCCGAGTGAAAGCACTGCAGGCGGGAAGGCGCAGCTGCAACACCGTGGGGGACACCGTGGGGGGGACACTATGGGGGGACACTGTGTGGACACTGTGGGGAAGACACTGTGGGAGAACACTATGGGGAGGACACTGTGGGGGGAAATTAGGGGGGACACTATGGGGGGACACTGTGGGGACACTGTGGGGAAGACACTGTGGGAGAACACTATGGGGAGGACACTGTGGGGGGAAACTAGGGGGGGACACTGTGGGGGAACACTGTGGGGGAACACTGTGGGGGGCCCAGTATGGGGGGACATTGCAGGGGGCACTGTGGGGGGACACTGTCCCCAAACATGAATTCATCTCCATCACATGCACAAGGAGACATTCTACACCCCACTTCCAACAGCAGAGCGACAGCCAAATCTCAGTGACCCAAACTTCTAAATAGCCAAACACCTAAACTATAATTAAAACAGTGTCTCGCCCTGGTTGGTGCGGCTCAGTGGTTAGAGCATTGCCCCCCCCCC